CAGCTGCAGGTTTCAAACATTATGCCAGGCTTCTTCATGTTTTAATAGTGTCCAAATAGCTTCCCCTTAACTGTGATGCTTATCTGTAGTAGCTTTTGTTAACTTGTATTGCTCTCCCTGGGGAACCAGCAACAAAAAGCTATTTTAAAAGTTTTTTAACTGAACCAAGAATAGAAATAAACTCTTTTCCCCATTTCTGTTTGAAAATAGTATTCATTTAAAATATTTGTAATATTTATAATAGGATATAATACAGTGACTTTTTTTTTTTAATTCTCACCCAAGGACATACCCACTGATTTGAGAGAGAAGGGGTGGGAGAGAGACAGGTGGAGAAACACCCGTGTGAGAGAGAGACACAGTCAGGCGCCTGGCCTTCCCGCGCACCCCCGGCTGGGGTTCCGGGCTGAGCCGGCAGCCTGGGCATGTGCCCTGCCCACGAACCAATCCCACAACCCTGTGGCGTATGGGACAATGCCCCAACGAATCGGGCCATGCCAGCCAGGAAAACAAAGTGAAGCTTTTTGAAATTATTTCCCAAATTCAAAAGCACTTGACCATTATGTCTGGAAAAACAATCAGGTACAGAGTTGATTTGATTGGGTTTGATTTGATATGATTTGGTTTGATTTGGGGGCATAGTAGAAGAACTTTCAGGTTCACCAGAAACATGTCAACTCCATCTGAGCTAAGAAATCCAGACCTACACCTTCCTTTATCAAATAAAATGCTCCAAGTGATCATTTAGTCCTTAAAGAATTGACCTATTTCAGAACTCTGCTGTTCTCTTAAAGTTAATCATTAGAAGAAAGAACCACTTACGTATTATGTAATAACATTTCCTTAGTGCTTTACTATGGTCTAATACTGTGCTGAGCACTTCTCGTTCAGTGTTTCATGGACTTCTTACTACCCTAAGCATTAGGAACAACCGCTACCAGCCTTTCACAGAGGAGGAGACTGAAGCAATAGGTGGAGGAGCCAGACTGAGACCCACACTGGCTGTAAGGTATATAGAATGGGGAAACCCACTGGCCTACACCTGCCTATGAACGAACTCCAACTATGATACGTCTGCTGGCTCAAGATGCCCTCAGTCAATGCGAGTTTTGCATACAGTCATAATAATGAGTTGACACCATTGTTTTCTTTCTGAAACATTGAGAATGTTGTATTTTATATAAGTATACTTCTGCTCCCTTCAGCATTCTTATTTCAATATTTTAGCTTAAATTAGCATTTCCTAAAGTGTATTCTATGGAACCTAAATCTTAAGGTATGTTAATAACTATTATAAACAAACAAAAAACCAAAAATTTTCTCTGATCTCACGAATTTAGGAAACTCTAGGCAAAAAGAAAAAGTTGGAATAAAGGTTCTCTGTGTGTTCAACATAATAACGAATAGCGTGAATCTTCAGAAGATATAATGTTAAACCATGTTATAACCTGTTCGCACCATAAGGAGACAAAAGGCTCAATGAGCAGAATTTAAAGCTCTTATGGGGAGCTATAGTTCTTCTGAAGGCCTGCTCCCAGTCAGTCCCCTTGTGAGTCTATCTATAAAACATACAGTTTCAATGGACTGACATAGAATGCTAATTAATTCAATTGATCTTAACATTTATAGTGTAGAACAATTTAGAATAGAGCTGTACAATCAGGACAAGAACAATCTCAAGATAATGCTTTCAGGAAAGATTTAAGCATGAATTAATTGGCCAGTGTTTGTTGACCTTACACAAGACACAATCTTAAAGTGGGTGGAGTGAGTCTTTGTACACAGCAAGAAGCTACATGGTCTAGCTTCTTTCTTCCCATTTTATTTTTTACTTTCTTTCATTCATTCTGCTTGTACCCAGAGAAAACACCAAGTTTATGTTTCCTTTTATCTGCCCTCACTTAGGATTGCCATCCAGGAAGGGCTTTCCAAAATCCTTAAATTACCTATTTCAATTCGCTACAATCAACGTATTTCTACTCCTCATTATTACTAATCACACTCTGCAAAAACTTGTTTCAATGGAACTTATTCATATAGATTAAACTTTCCATATTTATATGATCATAAGAACTCTTTGTACAACACCTATTGATAATCCTCTTACTTGTCCTCAGCAGACACATTCTGGTAATAGTGACATAAGCCAAGGAATGAATCCGGGAAACCAGGCAGGGAACAGAAGAGCTTTCACAGGAACCAGGGATGACTCATCACTTATCTTTCCCACCCAGGATAAATGAATTTAATGAAATCCAACTTGCATCTATGTAATGTGGCCAAGGAAAGGGAGATGTTTTGAGGGGGATGCAACAGAGTTTCCAGCAAAAACTTTATCACTGTTGTCAACTGCCTACCCCGACTGTATGTATAGATCATCGTATGTTGAAAATGATATAAAAATTTTGGAAAAAGTTGGGGAGGGAGAGTTATCCTGAAGCATACAAAAAAAAAAAAAAAAATTCATTTCCAGTTTACTCAGAGGCAATTTGATGTATTGGGGTTAATAATTAACCCATTTTTTTAAAGATATTCCTGTAGTTACCAGTGTACTTCAGTTCATATTAACCTCATGTTCTTCCTGAAAGTATTTATTACATTTCTGATTTTCTTATATCTGACCAGATTATTAGAACAATACCAACACTTAGAAACTTTTGAAAGACCTTCAGTCCTCAAGCTTCTGTGCCCTAGAAGTTAAAAGCTACTTCCTTGCCTTACATCATAAGTGGATAATGAACTCTTATAGATCAGCCAAATTTTCCTTATTGCTTTCCTGGGATTACTAGGCCACTATATTACATTCATTTGTAGCATTAGGTAATTCAAATTCTCCCAAACTACTAATCATTAAAATTGTTCATTTAAATATCACCATAGTGGCTTTTATGTAAACAAATCCCAGCAACCAATAATGATTTAGAATTAAATTTCTTTTTCCATGCTGTGGAGAATGGCAACTTGGGAAAGAAATGTACCTCACTTTTTCTAGAATATGAAATAGTCCAAGTTGCAAAAATTAAAACTTAAAAGGGAATGTTAGAAATAATACAGAGAACAATTATATAGACACCCAGTATGTGGTTGACTGGGCCCTCAGTAAAGAATAAACTCATATCTTTATAAGGACTGCAGGAGAAACAGCAATCCTTATAAAGATATGAGTTTATTCTTTTCTTAAATGATTCTGCTTCTTTTTTCCCCCAGATGTGGACAAAAATGAAAACAAACAAACAAACAAACAAAACAAAACAAAAAATGAGCCAGGAAAAAAAAATAACTCTTCCAATCCATGATGCAGTTAGGTCACTAAAATTCATGCATATGAGCCACACCTCTAAAGATTTTATATCTTACCAATTATAGGGAAGATCGAAAAATACATCTAAACTGATCATTTTATAAAGTTGGCTCTGGATTAAAGATTAAAAGGCTTTTTGCTATTTTTAAACTTCGATGGATCAAAGTTTACTAATTCTGTTGGGACTCTGGTGACTCTTTTGGGGGCAGATCTTTTAAGATGTCTCGGCTCTGTAATTTAAGTAATTTTGTGGCGGCTTTTCACTTCTCTCAATCTCAATGTGACTTAATCGCTCTCAATCTCAATTTTCTTGTCTTTAAAATATAGGCAATTATAGTGCCCACTACATCAAGCTGCTGTGGGAATTAGATGAGATGATGTGTGAAAGTGCTTATAAGGGTGCTTAACACACAACTACTGAATAAATGGCAGCTATTACTATCTTCTCTGATCCTAGTTATAATGTAGAAGGCCCTGCTAGTGGAACTTGAATTGGAATAATAACTCAGGGGATTATATTTTTCAAAAGCAAAACATTACATGTTTAATGAGAAACCTGTGGATTTACAATTTATCCAACAGCAAACAACAGCCCTGCCTGCTCTGAGATGCTGAGAACTTCCAGGCAGCCAGGACCTGGTATCTTGACTACAGAGTGAAGGGGCTGCACTCCAGCTGTCTGGGAGTCCAGCTCTGCCCTGCGCATTTGTTAAAGGGCCTTGAAGACAATTAACTTCTCAACCACAAAGTGTGTGTGCCTGAGAGACACCACATATCTCAGTGTGGTAAAACTGCAGCTCTGGGAGTTAAAAGTCTGTGATAGTTACAGAGGTAGAAGCCTATTTATGCAAGATACCTATTATCAGATGATAACACCTCTTAAAAATGAAAGGGAAGACCAATACAATAGTACAAAGCATAAGAGTGTTAGGAAACAGAAATCTCACAAAGGAGTTTGCCAGGCCATCAGGCAAAATTTGAAGATGTTCTTTCAATGAAAATGCTGAGGATTTTTGAGGATAAACCTTTATTAATCATCATAGACTCCATGTCTGCAGTTACTGGCATTTATTTTATCCATGTGAGAATGGATAGTTCAAGAGACCAATTCATAAAATAACTATGCTTTTTTTTTTTTTTTTTTATGTTTTTATTGATTTTAGAGAAAGAGAAAGGGAGAGAGAGAGAATCAATGTGAGAGAAATATCAATTGGCTGCCTCCTGCTTGGCCCCTATAAGGAATTGAGCCTGCAACCTGGGCATGTGCCCTGACTGGGAATTGAACCGGTGACCTTTTGGTACATGGGACTATGTTCAACCAACTGAGCCACACATGCCAGGGTACTATTCTTACTTTTAAAAAGGAAATAAGGACAACTAATGCCTTTCCTAAGCACTGGGTCACTGAATAGACAATGATCAGAAACATAAATTTCCATGAAATCATCAGCAATGTACACGAACACACAATTGTTCTTGAAGATAGGAGACTATATCTAATTGATATTAATAAACTTTAAGACTCTAAATGAAATTTTGAGGGATGTAACAACCATTTGGGGAATGTTTTATTATTTTATTTATATGACAAAATTATAACTGAAAGCTCAGAACTATTTGTTATTTAAAATTGCTTTAAATGCACATACGAACACACCTGTACACATGCATACATAAGTCAGAGACAGAAAACACTTACTGTCATTTCATTCATGCTCAGAAGCCTAGGGCTGGGCGGCAAGGTGCCAAGGCGGTGTTTAAACCCTTCTTCTAAAGTCATCCCCCAGAATTGACTGTAGTTCTGGGCTGTCCATCTGCCTTACAAATGAAAGAGAAAAATGTGTGGAGGTTATGGAATAACACTTTTATAAATACATGTTCATTTATACCTCTAAAACTATACAAAAACAAATCTTGCCAAATTGGAACTGTTACTGTATGCTAGACGTGATTTTTCATGTAAGTGATGGGGCATTGAATTACTCCAGTAATGAATCTATGAGGCCCTCTTCCTAAACAAGGCACATGTCAATTACTTTAATGGCTCATATGAGAAACCTAAGGCTATGCAAATACAGACAAAATTTAAAAATATAAAATCTTTACAATCTGTAAAGAGAGTAAGTGGTAATAAGGCCAATATGTGCAGTTATTTTTAAATGTCATTAAATGCATTTTAGATAGAATCATGAATGTATAGAAATGTACATATAGATTAAAAATGGTAATCTGTTTCATTTATAATTTAGGTTTGAAAAGTTGACCACATAAAGTATCCATACCTTGTAAAAAAATTGAGAAAAAAATAGATATTCTTTAAAAGATTACATCAGTGCTAATTAATTTTTGAAATTTTATTTAAATATTTTATTTAAATATTGAAATATTCTATCATGCTAAGTGAGTTAACTTGTATTAAGTACTCAATAATATTAGTTATTAATAATTATTATTCACAATAATTCACATTCAATTGGTGTGAAATTAGATAACAAAAGAGGGCATTTCTTTCTGGAGACATATTTTGTGCCCCTACATAGAAAAAGCAGCTTTATTTTCCCATTTTAATATTGAAATTTGAAGAAAACAAATATTCCTTAATGTTAGGAGATAAAAATGAGAGAGATGAAAATAATTTGATCACTGCTTTTTTGAATTATCTACAAAATTATTCTACAAATATATCTACAATATATTTTCAGTACTTAAATCTAAATTTTATTCTGTTGTGTTTATTACCAAATTATTTATAATGTGATAGGCTGTTATGAATGACTGAAGATAAAACTCAATTTTCAATAATGTGCTTAGCAAGTTAGTACTTTTCTTTTATAAGATCTTCTAGTTCATAAAACCTTAAGCAACTTTAAGTCATAATTTTAAAGTATAATCTCAGTCACCCAGGGAATTTCAATAAGAAATCATCTGACTGTATTCGGTATTGCAACATTATTTAAAAGACTAAAAGGACCAGCCTTAGGCAAAATCCTATCAGTAAAGTATGTTTTTGGTGCCCTACACTAGTAGTTGCTAAACATTCAGAGACATTTGTGGGTCATCTATTTAATCACTAAATTTAGTGAACAGGGGTCAGTATTTTAAAAAATAAAATAGAATGTAGGAGAAATAATTGGAAATATTAGAGTTTACTGCACACAGGGAAGGTAAGTACTGTTTATTTATCTAGGGGCATGTGTGTGTATGTAGTAGGTCACAAAGTTAAATGTATTTTTTGATGTGACTTAAGCTCAAAAAATATGTGAAAGACATACTATCCTACACCATCTTCTTTTGACCCAGACTCATCCATTCCTTCTCATCCAGTCTAGCATTTACTGAGCATTCTTAATTTATCTATCAGATTCTCTCGTAAACACTGGGAATTGAAACAAATAAATTTATTTACCCTTAAGGAGCTCATACCTAAAAAGACAACAAAGACAGCAATGACTTCAGTGCATGTGATTTATTAGCAGTAGGTGGAAGTATGATCGGAGGAGAGGATTCTTGACATAGCTCTTCCTGAAGTAGGTACCGTTTTTTACAGCAAGTGACGTTAGTGCTCAGTCTGGAAGGGTGATAATGCGTTTGGTGGCCAGATGTGAAAGAAGGGAGCATTTATTCTGAATAAAGGCAACTCTGGAACAAAGCATGCAGGTTTGACATGGGTAGATGATTTATGGAATAGCAGATAAATTAATGCTTAAGTTATGAGAGGGACTAGGGAGACAGAGGCTGGAAAACATGTAAAAGATGAGGCAGTAAGGAAGCATTGGGTCAGATGGTTAAGGAATATAATTCTATTTTATAAGCAATGGAGTGTCACTGAGGAGTTTTAAGAATATGAGCGGCAAACATTTGTTTTAGAAGGATGAACATGAAAGTATAAAGGACTGGCTGGAGTTTGGTCAGTGTGAAAACAGAGATATGTTGACTCATTTCAAATTAGGTTTCATACAGAAATGCTATTGAATTTATCAAAGGAATAGAGAAGGTAAATATTGAAAGAAATGTGGGAATTATAAGAGCCTAGTGACTGAGAGTGAAGAGAAAAGAAGACTCAAACTAACTTCAAATTTCCTAGGTGGGTTGACAAAGTGCAGGAGGAAGCAATCACCAAGGAGAGGCCAAGGTTAACCCTTTTGGTCTGAGGTATGTATGCTGGTTTTGAAAAACCAGTGAGAAACCCAGGCCAACTTATCCAACAGATGAGACTTTGAGTTCATAAGAAAAATGAAGTTTAGTGATGTGATAAATTTAACATGGCCACAAAATTTTTGCAGCTCTTTCCATCAAGAGGTGGATCCTAGTTCCCCAAACTTTGAATGTGTGCTGGTCCAGTGACTCGCTTTGTCCAATAGAAAGTAGAATTGATTCTTTGCAAATTTCAAGCTTAGGCCTCAAGAGAGGCCCTTTGCAGCTCCCACTCATGTCTTACTAGAAGACTGTCATTATGCAAATCAGCTAAGGCTAGCCTGCTGCAGACATGTGGGCCCACCAACCACCAGCACCAACCCCTAGACATGGGGGTGAGGCCCTCTTAGACAATTCAGCCCCAGTTGAGGTTCCAGATGTCTATAGATATGTGAGTAACCCCAGAAGAGACTAGCAAAGAGCCTCAGCTAACTCCATCCACCCAAACTGCTGATGTAAACCATGAAGTTTGTGGTTTTATGCTGCTAAATTCTAGAGTGGTGTTTTTGTGTAGCATCAGGCAACTGGAACAGTTATCAATATCCCTTTGTTCCACCAACATGCTGACTATTTCTTGAGTCACTAACTTGGCACTTATATACTGCCCTATCATTAGAAATCCTTCTACAAAGTGTGACATGTTGACTCCTCAGCTAGATTATAAATTCCTTTAAGACAGAAATTAGTTATATCCTTAGCAGTGCCACAAAAGAAATAACGTGTTAATATTAATTGATAGCATTCAAAATAATACAGGGAATAAATCAGCACTGACGTGGATTATGCAGAATGAATAAAGACTTGGATGTAATACACTACCAAGATGCAAGAAATAAATATTTTAGCCCGGCCCACATGGCTCAGTGGTTGAGCGTCGACCTAGGATCCAGGAGATTGAGGTTCGATTCCCGGTCAGGGAACATGCCCGGGGTGTGGGCTCGATCCCCAGTTGGGGGCGTGCAGGAGGCAGCTGATCAGTGACTCTCATCATTGATGTTTCTCTCTCTCTCCCTCTCCCTCTTTCTGAAATCAACAAAGATATATTAAAAAAAAAAAAAAGAAAGAAATGTTTTAAAGCAAAGGTGGTATATATTTGTATGTAGGTTATTCTAAAAAGCATTTAACACTTAATAAATTATATATAATTCTATTTTCACATATAAAAACAATTTGAACAGAAGAAACAGAATATATCTGAGAATTAGAACTTACTTTTAAATTCAAGGACTTCCTTTCCCCCTTTTACCCCAGTAAAGAATTTTAGTTTTACTCTTTTTCTTCATAGCTTGTGTCTTTTACTTAACTCTCCCCCCCTCCCCTCCTTTGGTCTGTGTATATTTCCTTTTGCTCCAATTACAGTTCACTTTTTATTCTTTTAAAGTCATCCATGTTTGCTACTAAAAGGCAAATTCCGTGCCACTTAAATAGCCTTAGAGCACTCTGTCAATCAACAAATAATGGAAAGAAAAGTCTTCCTTCCAAAGAAGGCGGCATTCCCAACGGCTTCTGCGCTGTGACATGTGCTGTATTTCTACACTGTGTTAGACGGTGCTTTCTCATGGGTCTGGTAGAAAGGTGGGCTGCATGCATATTATGGCTTCTTGGAAGTGTGTGCTTGTAGGCTAAGCATTTGAATCCTTTTAGGAGCCTGATACAGATTATGTCTCATGATGACACATACTCTTCTGTTCTTTTAATGATTTGAATATCATTCAGCCACAGAAATTATGAGTTTTCCCTAGAAATACCTAAAATACATTATCACCTAAAATATTGATTAAACATATGCACACACACACACACACACACAGAGAAACTGAAAATACAGGTTTAAGATTATTAATGTCAACAAATGTGACTTTCTATATTTCGTGTCTTCCCAGAAAACATTTTGAGTACATTTAAATAATGTTTCCATTGTGCTGGGAAACATATGTCTTATGTGTCTTATATGTGGAAGGAAATGATATCTATAATTATTAAAAATTCATTTCAGGATTACTTCACTTTTAGGGTTGCTTGACAATAAATCGTCTTATGTGAAATCTTTTCCAAAATCTGATTAGTAGCAGTGGAGAAATCCTGAGACAGACACCAACCAGCCCCTCTTCCTTTCGGTTCAATAGAGAAAGCCAGTGTTAGCACCTACATCTTAATTCCCTCTTTGTAAGTGGAGAAGCCGCCTAATTTACTAAGCTTTCAAAGAGCACTGCACAGTTATTTCCTATGTTAAAGTGTCAATTGGCTCCATCTTTAGTAAAATGGCTCAACCTATCTTTTGACGCAACTGTCAGTGAAATTAACTAGATATCAGCCATGTCAGTGAAATTGTGTAGATGGACTGGTTATTGGGGGGTCATCAAGATAAAATGCCGCCCTCATAAGGCTAGGCCCTGCCCAGGAGAGCTGAGGCGCGATTGGCTGGGCCCAGACAGCAGCCCAGGTTAAGGTGGTAAACACAAAGACATCAGGTACGTCTACTGCCTGACTTTGCCTGACTACTTATCCAAACTAAAGCTCCCCTACACTCCTCGCTTACACCATGACACTGCTCCTTTCTAGACAAGTTAAGACCATGCTCTATAATTCTTCTTTGTGCATTTTTATTGTTTAATTACTTAATATTCACCTCTGTGCATCCCAATTTTACATGCCTTTCTACCTCCCTGTTTTCCCCCACTCTTTCTTTGGAAATAATGACTATTTTTAGAGGTAAGTGATAGGAAATACATTGTCTGAAACCTGAGGAGTAACAGGGAGTGCCAAAAACCTATGAAGCAAGATTTCACTCACCCGTAGTCTCCTTTATTGACATGTTCAATTAATTCTGGTTCAACAAGGCATACATGCTGGGAACATTCCCATTGCTGTCCTGAACATGTGCTATAAAGATACAAAAATTACAGAAGTGGCATGGCCTTAATGGAGTGCATTTACAAAATTAGTAACCAGAGTTGCACATTCTTAAGGCATAAAACATATCTTGATTAATGTTAGCCATATGCCTGTTTGATTTTTGGCAAAAAAAAAATATTATAACACATGCATTAGCAACCATTCAATATGCTCCTATCTTGTACTCCAGGCAATTAATAAATAAAATGACTACACATTCATTGAAGTTTAAAAACACAAATCAATTTAGACACTAGATTCAATGTATTTGTAACTGGAAACTTTCCACAAGATAATCCTGTTAAGGCAGCCTATTTTTATATACAGTTACTGTGTTCAAAGAAACATGATGTATCCACAGTATATCAGAATGTTTATAATTAAGAGGCATATTTAATGCAAGCCTGCTGTATGACGCAGGCCCACTGTCATGATCATCAAACTCAAGCAATAAAAAATATATTCATGATTAGATTTTTAACATTCATTAAAGTTAAATATGCTTATACAAACCACAGATATGTGATATCTTATTACTTATTATTCTTTCTATCTGTATTTAAATGTGCTTTGTTTCACAGATGTTCCTTTTATTTGAAGAAAACACACACAAAGACAGTAGAATTCAGTCCGTGCCACTGAAATCCATTACCAGAAGTTGCAGTTTTCTTTAATTACTGATCCTTCTTCATAGTGTTGACCATCTCTAAGGCAACCTGTCAATATAACGTAAACAAATGAAAATTCTAAATTGAGCAATAAAGTGCCTTAACACAACAGGTAATCTAAAATTGTGTTGTTTTTCAATTATGCAAAAATATGTGGTTCCAGCCTCATGGAAATTCACATCTGGTTTGTGTCAAGGTTTATATATCAAATTCTTCTGGGTTTATTCCATAGCTTTATCTTTACACTGCATGTTATATTCCAACTGAGAGGATTTGTGAAGCATGAAAACTACATTATCAAGGAATTAATCACTAACCACACTAAAAATAACTGTCTTTTAATAGGTAAGCCATAAAAGTGTTGAAATAAACTTGTCATTTCTCAGTTTTCAAAATCTGAGTCTCATATGTGAATGTGATTAATTACATGTGACTAGAGTAAGGAGGTCAAAGTTTTTGACAGAATATAATACGGTTTCACTGAATTCATCTGACAAAACTAAATTCTATTTTTTCTTTAGGATTTGGATCAGGAGAAAAATTCATGAAACCAATAAGATTGCTGCTATTTGTGTTTCAAATGCAAATTTTTTTCAACTATTTACTACTTGTTAGCTAGTTTATCAGATTATATAAACTACTCAAAAGAGATCAGTGATGAATTATCATCATATAAAAACCATCAGTAAGATATTGTGAAAATAGTACCATGGATATATATTAAATCCCTTTACAGAAAATAATTTATACAAATTTAAAATCCATGCTCAATTAGCAAAATAGCAAAATCTACTACTTTGTCATGTGAAAACTTTTTTTGACAGAAACATGTAATTGATAGATCACATCAATGGCCCCTAATTAAACAAAATAAATTCTAACTGCTTTGTCATTCAATCTTAGGGAAAAGCCTACATGTTTAGAAAACACTCTACCCTTAGAATGTATAACTACCAGTCACAATACCACAAAAGCCCCTTATAGAATTAACTGTCCTCTGATTCCAAAAAATTGTTTTGTAGAAAACATTTCACAACTGCTTCTCTTCAGCACATATCTGTTTTCACAGGTCACTATTTTGTTTAATGAATGAATCTAAAATCTCTAATGTAATTGCATCTATCCGTCTCTTTCCCATGGATTTTTGACATTTCATAGTCATGGAAAAGGAAACCACTTCTCTCCTGGACTGCAGGTTTCTTGATATAGCAAAGAGGAGGGGAAAGATTCAACTTTAAATCAAGTTCAAAGTTTTAATTGCTACCCAGGATTACACACTTTTAATAAATGGATGTATACAATGTTTGTAACTTAAAGAGACCCTAAAACTTTTTATTATCCAGGAGCAACAGAAAATTCATGCAACAGTTCACATTAACTCAAAGTTAAGGGAAGTGCTTCTCTGATTAGTTTGAAGGGAGAGTGGGTGGTAAAATCAAAGCTGATCTTTAATCATCCCCCATGGATCTTGCTTGTCCATCAGACCAGTTAAGTAGACAAAGGGAACAGAAATCATAAAGGTTCTAAGGGAAAGACCGTCCCTTCTCTGACCTGTACTCCATCAAATTTAGAATAAAACCACTTTTTACAGTGACTTATAAGGCTTTGCCCAAAATGCCTCTGCCCACCTTACTCCTCCTGTGCAAGCTGGGGTGGGGTTCCCAGGAGCTGAAGGATTTGCACACTGCTAGGATAGAGAGAAGTAAATGGGCATGATCTGGAGGTAAAGCAAATGGGACATGGGTTGAGTTTGGGGAATGAGAAAATGAGGAATGAAGGATGCCTCACTAGGATTTTTTTGGTGTTAGCAATACAGACTCCGTAAAGCAGGTACTGAAATAAGGATCAGTGTGGCAAGAAATCAAGAGTTCTGCTTTGCCTATTTTAGGTTTGGATTAAATCTGGGTTAAACATCCTATTAGAGAACATCAAGTAGAGTAGCTCATGAAAATGCAGAGTTAAGTCAAGACTGAAGCATAGTTTGAGAGACAGCAACATATATATTTTTAAAGCCTTAAGTCAAAATAAGTCTATTTGAAAGATTATATATAGGCAAGAAAAAGAGGTCCAGAAGCTAGTTCAAAACACTCCAGCAAACAGACATTCAGAAAAGGAAACTGGGAAGGAGTGGCCTATGAGGAGGCAGAAAATTCAGGAGTGGGTAGAATCTTGGAAAGCAAGAAAATAAAGTATTTCATGTAAGCCTAAGTGGTCAACAATGTAGAATAATGCAGGGAGGTGAAGAAAATGAGACCAGACATGTGAATATTACATTTAGCAATGTGAAAGTGGTCAATGACCCTCCCAAGGGAGGTTTCATTGAAGTGGCAGGAAATGGCATCCTGTAGGAATGAGTTGATAAGAGACTCAGACGTCAGGAAGCAAAATGTTTCTTTCAGATAGTTTGCCATTAAAAGAAAGAAGTGAGGTAGTAGCTGGTTAAGAACATGGAATCAAAGGGTCTTTTTCAAAGTTGGGAGCTACAAAAACATATTTTGTAAACTGATATTTGATCAGGATGGAAGGGGGAAAATGATGTTTTAGGAGAGAGAAGAGGACAGGAGGGGGAGGGGAGGGGGAAAATGATGCAGTAACCCAGATAGAAGTTGGTTGGAGTTATGATGATGGAGAGATAAGACAATTCCTGGTGGCATTATTTTTGCAGCAAAATATGTATGAAACACCTCATAGTGAGTTAATTGAATTGGTTACACATACAGCATCTCAATTTAAAAAAAAAAGTAACACTATTGACATTAAGGGAGTTTTGCAACTTTAACAGTCATTAATATAAAATATGCCGAGAGTGAAACAGTTGGTCAACTGTTAAAAGATGATAATAAGACATTTGTAATTTATTTTAAAATACTTCATCATAATGTGTCATAATATCTGTGCTGGTCTAAACTTCACTCTAGGGAAGGCAGTTACTGCTCTATTCAGGATCCCACATGCCAGCAGTGGCTGTGCTGAGAGGCCAGATTCCAGGGCAGCGGCCACAGGTGCCTCCATCATCCATCCTTTGATGAACACTATGATGTCAGTACAATGACAATTTTGTGTCATTGTCTTTGGACACTTTTCATTTTAGTTAATTTTGCACGATTTTTCAATATTGTGTAGGACTATTTTCTTTCAACCAGCTACTTCCATAAGCAAGATAAATGGGCTTTTCATTGGTAAAATGAGTGGCTTGTTAGTCAGCATAATGGATGTAAATAGTCAGCTCTTATTGGTTAAATTTATAATATTCAATTTCTGTAGACTACATAAAATATTTTAAAGTTGCATTCCACTCTTACACCTCATAATTTATATGTACCTCTTAAGGTCCAAAGCCTTTAGTCTTAGACCGGGTGCCCTGGAATTGATCTCTAAGAGGTCTTGTATCCAGACACTAGGAGGAGGGTTTCTCATTCCCTGACACTCACTGTAAGGGTAACAGAGTCCTACCTCTGTAATATTATCACATGTCCCTCCAATAAACTTTTCATGCAAGGTAGATGTGGAGACATCTAAAAGGACAGGGAACTGAGACTTCATGAAGCTTACAGAGGTTGTATGAATTGGTTTATGTCTCCTTACCAATATATATTTTTGTAACTATCAGTATGTAATGCAGAGTTTCAACAGTGACTTATCTTCATTATAATCTGGTTAAGGAGGTTGCTGAGGAGTAAATTACCCTCATGCAATTCAAATGTGTCAGTGGTTTATACACGTCTTTTACCGACGTGAACATGAGTTCTGTGTAATCAAATTGGCTTCGGTCTGTCCACAGCAGATGGTACACTAGACTCTTTGCTTAAGATCTGCTGCACCGAAAGATTATGTCTGGAAAATCCACTCTGCTTCTGTTTCAAACTATCACTTGTTTTCTGTATTTAATGTTTGAAATCCTCCAGTTACTAGAAGTTACCATCAGAGATGAGGGAAAAAACACAGAAGGAAGATATTTACCAATATGCTCTAATTCCAGTTTATACAAAAGGGGTGTGATTTTTTTAAATCCTCAAGACAGTGTACATAGTTTTAAGTCACTGGTTTAAAACGAGTTCCTGGGATATTTGCAATAAAAAGAGCTAGATAAGGCCATGCTAGTAGATAACTGAACAATAATATTTAATAGATCAGTGAATTAACAACACATCTCAGACTGTATACATTTAAAAAATAGTAGAAATAACATGCCATTGTCTTTTCATTTTAGTTAATTTTGCACGATTTTTCAATATTGTGCAGGACTATTTTCTTTCAACCAGCTACTTCCATAAGCAAGATAAAACAAGAGAAAAATTACCTTCATGAAAGCAATTATAGTCTAATGTGAACTTTTTGCTACTAAATAAAATGATTAATTGCTTCCCTCCATAATGAATGGAGTAAAAACCATACCTACTTAAATTCTACCTAAAAGATGATCTTAAAGTCTTAGTAAAATTCTAGCTCTTGAGCAAAAATGAACACTGGAGAAGTATCAATTACTTTTCTAGAGGCAATATGTCCAAAATAAGGAAAGCTCAAATACATTTTAGCACATCCAAAGCACTGCAGCTTATACATAATATTTAGACTCGACACTCACAAAGCTAACCCTATTCCTACTTAACATCCTTCTATGACTTCTCAGAACAGAATAAATTCTTAAATCCTTACTATGACCTAGGAATGCTGCCATAATCTGACTGCCACTCAACTCTCAAACCTCATCTCATGTCACCCCCAATCCTCCAGCAACCATTGCTTTCAAGAAATGCTGGCCTCCTTTTAGCTCCTGGACTAAGGTCCTCAGTCTCAGATCTGAAGCAGCCCTCGGATCTTCAGGTCAGATCCCTTCTCCCCTCTCCTTGAGTCTCAGCTTACATGTCATGCCTTCCTTTGCTGCTCCCTCTCCCAGGCTAAATTTATATATTACTTTACATATTGCTATATTCTGATATGCTTTCTCACAGCACCCTGTTTCAGAGTCTTTATTGCCATTTGCAGTTGTACAGTGCATTTGTTAAATACCTTACACACACACACACCCCAACTTGACTGACACTTCAATGAGAGTAAGATCTTGCCTTTTTTCTTCCCCATTGTTGTCCCAGAACTAAGCGCCATGCCTGGCACAGTGGAGACATTCAGGGAAGAATTTCTTTTGATGGGCAATTACATCTCCCATTCCTAGTAGAGTGTCTACTAGGGTTAAAAAATGTTTGCTGAGCTGTTTACTGATAAAGGCAAAGGCTTGGAATAAATGACACTTCTGTGGAAATTTTAACATAATACATATATTGTTTTAGGGAGCATTTCCTCAATTTTTGGTAACAAGATGACACTGAGAATGAAGGCCACAGATTTTGAAAAAAGATCTTGATTTTTAAGGATATCAAATTCTAGTTTATTCTAAATTTTCTTCTAACTGTAATTTCTAGTCACCATACTGATTTATAGTAGGAGAACAGAGCTCTGATTAAACCTGCATTCCTGCTGAGAATTGACAAGATGAATGACAGAGAAATAGGGCCTCATATAAGTATAACAGTAGAGTTTTGTTTTTGTGTCTTGTTACAAACCTTGGATAAATTGATTGTTCAAAATCTATAGCCATTCTCTTATAATTAGACCAATATAGTAAATACCATCATTCTTGTTATGAATTATTTGTATTTATCAACTCAATCTTAGACTTTTACCATGAAAGTACAATGCCCTCCTGTGTTTTTAATGGTTTAAAACTTCCAGATTAACAAAACAAAACAAAACAAAAATACACATGAAGAATCAACTTGGAGTTAGGCAGGGTGAGTGGCTGACTTTATTTTGCTTTTGTAATAGTTTTAATGGCATTGCAATGCCACCGATTCTAATGGTAGGAGGTCCATTAATCCCACAAAAAAGTAAGTAAAATATTATATGAATCTGGAGATGATCATGTGACTTTCATGAGATTCTCTAAGAGATCACACTCAAGAAGCCTTGAGGGTCCTGTGGTCAATACATTTTACAAAGAAAGAAAAAAGAGTTTCCAGTGACTTTTATGTAAGTCGAGTGTGTGTTCAAAACAGGATTCAGACCAGCATTCATGACCATAATCAAGCCAGAACTTTCCTGAAGGTGCTGGTATGATTCACATAACCTGCATCTAAACCAAAAAATTTTAACAATCCAAAGAAATTTATTCTAGTGATCACAACATTCATTTTTCATTTTCTCTTAAAGGAAGGAAGGAAGGGAGGGAAGGAGGGAGGAGGAAAGAGAGAACAAGAGAAAGTCTGACAGATCTTGTTATGAACAAAAATAATGCTTAAATATAGTCCCAAAGCCTACCTTCTGGATACCAAGGCTTTGTGTGAGGAGGCCATTCTTGCTCTTCATGGCAAAATGACTTGTAATCAGGACAGCAATCAGAATTTTCCCTTTCACAGAATTTATCACAGTAACACAGGGCATTCACCTCATAGAACTGAGTGACACAGTCATCATCTCTGTCTTCACAACAACCAAAACTTCTACAGTATTGCCCTGTGAAAATGGCTCTTTTGAATCGAGTACCTTCCAAAATGGTGTGATTCCTAGTGAAATCAGCTCCTGGGTCCACTTCTCTTTGAAATACATACTGTTTCTCCATCCAAATTTCTGTAATAAGGTAAGAGAAGATTAAGATCTTATATCCAGTCCACATTCTCTACAGGTCAGGTATGGCTCCCACTTTCTGTTATATCCAATATATCACTTCTTGAGGTTTCTCCTTGGAGCCTGAATTCTAATCATCAAAACAACTCAGTCTGAATCCTGATACTGATCCTGACTTGAACTGAGTATACTTCTTGTAGTTAAACATTAACCAAGAATTTAAATGTTTGTCCAAGATAATGTGTTAGAAACAAACCATTGTAATTCCTCCAAAGTTAAAAATTTATATTTCATATCATGTAAAAAATGTTCATCCCCATACAAATAAATGCATAGGTGAAAAATTAAATACTGCTTGTTTCCCCCAAAATCTAAATTCTTACATCAAAAACCTCTGGAGAATATGCATGGCCAAAATTATGGCTGCAACAACCACTGACAAGGTATAGGAAATTCAAAAGTCAAAAACACAATTATTCATTTCATCTACTTGCATTGCATCTAAAATCCAGGCTCTCATGAGGTTGCCTGCTAGGATCTGTCATATCAGTAATAGTTGCTCTAAATCATGCCCAGTCACACACTGATTTGATTTCCCAATCTGTACTCCATTTACCTACCAAAAGCATTTTGATTTCAAGGCTTGGTGGAGCCTAATTCAGCTAGAAATTCCCTGAGGGTGACAGTTCTTTTTACCTGAGCCCCTACTTGGCATCAACGTAGGAATCTGTGGTATCTGGAAGGCAGTTTATAATTAAGGAGTCAGTACTCTGTGCTGAGAGCTGCAGGGGGAGGGAATTGTGAAGGAAACTCAAAGGTCAAGATGCCCTTAGTGTTTCTGAGAACTGTGCGTGTACAGTGGGTTTTGCTATACTATATTTACTCATTAACTACAATAACTCCCTTTGGATGGGGATAAGTAACCAGCAGACGATGATTCAGCAAGGGTGGTTGGATGGCCTAGTGGAAAGTCTTGTCTTGACAATCAGAAAACTTGGACTCTGTTCCCCAATCTACTGTTTAATTGGCTTTAGGACCTGAGATTCACAATTTGCTTCTTTGGTCCTCAGTTATTTTTCTATAAAACCAAGGTCTTCCCCTTCAAGGCGAATTCATAATTCTGACTCTTCAAACTTGTTTCCTAACCTTCCTCCATAAATTATTGGACACACACTTTTATCTTCATTGTTGCCCTTTCTTCTGGCACCTTCTTTTTTATCTTTTTTTAATTTTTCATCATCTTGGTTTCACTCTCCATAGTTCCCCCTCACCCCCCCATCTCTCCAATCTGAACACGGCTGCCTCCGCTTCCTTGTCATGCACTGTCTCTAAACTACTGCAAAGCGCTGTATACATTTCCACCTACATTTGCCAGTGACCTCCCAACATCCAGTTCCCATAGACCTGTGTCCATCCTTATCATACATAGATCTTGTGCAGCACTTGGCCTGTATAACAATTGGTTAAGAACAGGAGCCTAAGTAAGACTAGTAGAGTTCAAATCCTAGGTTTACCACTGGCCAGTAGCATGTCTTTGGGAAAGTGGCTCAGTCACTCTAGGCCTCATTTTTCTCATCTACAAAATTTGGATAATAACATTTATTACCACATCAGGTGAGTGGGAAATTTCAATTAAATAATACACACAGTACTTATAGCACATCCCACATGCTAAATAAATGTTATCATTAGTAAGTGTACTCTCTACCTTGAAATTCCTTCCTCCTTTGCCTTCATTCATTCCTGATTCTCTTCTCCTTCTTGATAAGGCTCCCAATTATCTGCTCATTCTTGGACTCCTTTTCTTCCCTTCTCAATGGTCATTTAAAATATGTTTTCACCAACATTCTCAATCTGTTTCCTCCCTACTCCTCACACCTCATCTTTCCTCAAAACCCCTAGCATTGAATCAACCTAAAAGCTATGGACCATAAGACCTTATACAAGGTGGACCTTCTACCTTGTTATCTCCAAGATCTCAATTTAAACCACTTTACCCCTTGTATATATTGCCACTAGCATTCTTGCCATTCCTCAACGTGCCAGGCACACCCTGTCTTGGGACCTTTGTATTTGTTGTGTCCTCTGCCTGGAATACACATCCCAGATAACCCCATGGCTCAATAGCTCACTCTTTCAAGTATTCTTTTAAACCACAACTTCTCAGAGAGGCCATGCCTACATTCCCCACCTGAAATGACACCCGTCTCTAGCTCCAACACTCCCTATCCCCATTCTCTGTGCTTATGACTAATATACTACAATTTTATTTATTGATCTTATTTTCTCATTTTTTCTCCAGAATATAAGATCTACAAAAATCATAGAATTTTGTCTGTTTGTAAGTTGTCTGTTGTTTCTCTCTAGCACTCAGTGCCTCATGCATATTTGTCATTCAATAAACATTTATTCAATCAGGAATGAATTAGCAATTTGTGTTTTCCGCCCCTGTACCACATCTCCTGAGTACTGTTGGAGGTGATCCACCAGCCCATAGAATCAGTGCCACCATACATTTTTAGATTTTTGTCTCAGCTAAGCTCTTAAATACTACTTATATTTTTTCTTAAGTTACCTCCCATTTTCCTTAGTGACTATTACAAACTGCTTTCCTAACTTACTAGAGATCATCACTTTCTAGGAATGACCTTCTCTCAAAGGTTATTCAAAAAAGGCCAAAAAGCAAATGTTAATCCCACACCTTCCCATCATCAGACCCATAAACCTACCTACATTTGTAGCCATCCTTCTCATCTGCCTTCAGGCTCAGAAGATGAGGTGTCATCCTGTTCTCAAGCAATTCTTCCACCTATAATTTTTGCCTGTGGCCATTTATCCTATTCCTTCACTTGTCTCTTGGTTCCAATCCATCTTCAAACTCTTTAATCCAATTCCTTCAGTCTGTTAGTAGGATTATAACAGACACTCTTGACACCCTGCCCATATCCCCACCATCCTTACCAATTTAGAACAAAGCTGGCTGAAATTCCAACTTTATGAGTTACTGAGCAGAGCCCACCCCTCCCCTTACCCCACTATATAACAAGCCATAAGTGCTGAAGAATTAACACCCTCCCTGTAGCCCAGAAGCATCCTTTACAGGATCCCTAGAGGAACTGGTGTGTAGGTACCCCACTCCACACCCGTGGGTGCATTCTTTTGAATACCCACACATACATAGCCCTCATCCTGAGGTAAGAGGGGAGTTCCATAGGCAGAGGAACTGCCAGTAATGCCCTAACTTATTTACTTACAGCACACAGTTATATAACGTAATTTATCACTGTCTGGTAAGTGTTAGCTACTGATTATAATATCTCCCTTTAACGAATGATCCTTCTCTAAATTGATGAAAGCTCTAAAATATCCCTGCAAAGGAATTTCACATTGAAAGTGACATATTGGCTCAAGTATTACTACAAATGTATTCCTTTAGACCAGCACTTTTCAATGGGGGTCACTTTGCCTCCCAGGAGAAGTTGAACAATGTCTGGAGAGTTTTTACTGTGCTGACTATCAAGGTTCCATAAGCATCTGGTAGACAGAGGCTGGGAATGCTACTAAATATCCCAGAAGGCACAGGTCACAACCCACAACAAAGAATTCTCTGGCCAAAAGTATCCATGCCACTGTTGATAAACCCTGATTTACACATATTACAAAGATTTTAAAAGAACTAACAGGAAATCAGAAACACATGAAAATAACATGTTTACTTGCAATTGGATGGAAATAAAAATTGATCAGATGGACCTCCATTAAATGGTTGCTTTGCGATATTAGCTAATGACAATAGTACATATAAATGGGGGGTGATCTTTCAAAAATTTGGGGTATAGGGTATGTATGACTCAAAGGTTAGAGTCCACCACGCCGTGCCCTCTTCCAACTTGATGATTCTCCTTGGATGAGGTACATTTTAGAAGAAAAGAAAAGTCCCACAGTCCCTCTTCTTGGGATTTTTACAACCTCCATCACACAAAAAACAGCCAAGGCAATCAGCAGCCTTCTGGGCTTTGGTGGGGAAAAGTAAAGTCAATCAAATAACTTCCTTAACACAATATCTTAGCTAGATGCTATGAAAATTACTAGACACTGGAAATTTTAATCATGTCTATAATTGAAAGTTTAAATAGGCAAAATGTAAACTTGAAAGGGGGGAGAGAAAAAGGAGAGAGATAACAGGAAGGTGGACTTACTCGACACAGTTTATCTTATTGGCTTAAATTCTATCATTAGAGATATTATCCCTCTGAATTACGGAGTTTGCAAAAGTATCCTATGGTAGTAAGTGGTCTTTGGTGAAGTAGTTTAAGTAATAGTAAGTCACCTTTCAGGGTTCAGAGCTTGATCTTTTCACCTTGAGAGTAGTTCTAGGATGCTCCATGTGTGGAGGAGGACTGGTGAGGACCGTAAGAAAAACACAGGGTAAAGACTTGCTGAGAATCAAATGCTCTTTCTTCACACATTGGGCCATCAAGGAATTATATGAAGCTACCTTCTTATTTTTACTCCACTGACTTAACTCAAATTTTATAAGCTTTTCAATAAATCATAAAACATCTGTCTACAAGGTGCAGTTGTCTTTGGATTAGGCTGTTGAGGGGGACTGGAGGATTTTGCACCTAATTATTACAATATACATCTCTATAGATACATATATACATATCTGTATAATACACAATACATGTTGTGTATTACTGTGTGTACATAATCTCTTTTATCCTTTCAGTAGTCTATGATGGCAAAATTATTGTTATTCCTATTTTAGTAATTACAGATGAAGGACTGAGACTCAAATGGCTCCAAGGTCACACAGCCAGTAGAAGGGGGTGTGATTCCAAGCCTGGTGCACATTTCCCTGCCCCATCCTGCCTTTCTGTGTAAATGTTCACCTGGTCCTCTGACTAAAGCCTGGATTTGCCCATGACATGAATAATCTTTCCAGATCCTTTTGCAACTCAGTGATTCCTGAGGTGGAGAGAATATGGGAGAGGGGTGGTTATCTAGGGAGGGATCACAGAGTTTTAACCGATTGGCTGTGCATTATTAAAACACTCACGTGAAACTCCACTTTTCTGTGGAAGTTTGCCAGTTAATGCATATTTGACCTCTAATTACACATTGCTGAGAAAACTGAAAGAAATTAAAAATAGCAGATCCATAAAAAGGTAAAGAGGATCCTGCAATAGCT